ACCAAAATTGTACCAACTTATTAGTTACGGGATGTAATCTACAAGTCACTAAAGTTACAGGACCAATAATGGGTATAGCTATAATTACGGGACTGAATCAACAAATTTCCCCATATTTTGATCAACTGATGCCCTCAAAGAAACATATTTGAACAGTGAATTCCCATAAATGAAGTTCCCAAATAGTTCACTTCTGGCCAACGGTCTTTACTATACCTCCAACTCGTTCAAGAAGTAATCCTTATCTGCACTGAAAGCATATTTAGGGGATTGAAAAATATTGACAAAATGCTTGAATCTGACTTTCTACAGCCACAACACGCACCCAGAATGCAAAAGTTAAATAAATAAAACAAGAACGAAGATGCTAAGAAGAGGCCTACCTATTGTTATCCATCTCAGGTAAGATCCATTTAATATTAGGTGTATACGTTGGGTTTGAATGGTTGCTTTAAAGGTGGTAATAACTTCTTATAAAATGTTGCTACAAACTTTAATGAGATGCATTTTTTGTTTCTTATGCTAAATCTGTGCAGTTTAGCAATAGAATTAAGAGACGAAATGTTTAATAATACCAGTTCCCTTTGTCCCTTTTTTTTGTGAATATGTCAAGTAATCTAAAATGCTACTCCGTAAAAAAATACTGATAACAATTATCAAGCTCCGTATTTCCGGCTGATAACCGCTTTCGCGGCGTTGTAGTAAAACGGAGTCTAACCTTTCGGTTTTTCCCCGAGTATCGTGTCTCTCGAGGAATGGCGGAGGAGCTTCTTGATTTTAAGTCCAGTCATAGGTTATCGCAAATTATTGGAAGCTTTCCAAATTAAAACTTTTGATTGATTTTCTAAACTACTTTTTGGAAAAGAAAGTAAATTAAATTGTGCAAATACTAATGATGGCTCAAAAATAAACTAAAGGAAAAAAATATAATATTAAACTTAAATGGATTGATGCAAATAAGGGCAATGAATCGAGTAATTAGAAATGAATATATTCTTGGACCTAGTAATTAGGGAAATTAAAACTAAAATTGGACTAATAATTTCTTTCCTCATAGACAAGAATAGAAACTATTTTCATTAATTTATCCTATTTCTAGGTGTCATTAATGTGTTAAAAATGGTTGGCTTGAATTAAATTCTAACCTCATAGACAAGGTAGAAATAATTCTCCAATATTTTAATTAATAAAAATAGCCAAATTCATTAACTAGTTAAACTCATTATTTAAGCAATTGAATTTATCTCTCATAGACAAGATGTAAATCCATTTCATTAAATTATCCTATTTCTAGGCCTTATTAATGTGCTCGAATATGGTTGGCTTAAATTATTTTCTAATCTCATAGACAAGTTAGAAATAATTTTCCAAGAATTTAATTAATGAATATGGCTAACAGTTATTAATTACTATTTCATCATTTCAAACAACTAGTCCAAATTATTGATTTTAATCCCTAATTTTCGGTCAACAAGTCAATCCATATTCCTTTAGTCAATTCATGCCCAAAACAAATTTAGCTAATAAACATCATTTTTTCAATTAACAATATAAAGAATATATTCAACATTAACAAGGAATTACACATGGATGATGGCAAAACGTATATTCTGGAACAATAAACTTATAGGAACTAAAATATAATTTTATGGAATTTTTCCCGAATTTTATAACCTAAAATCCAATTTTAACAACTAATTGATAATTTTCCCAATATTAACTAGAGAATACAAAAAAGGCAACTGCAAATATTCTAAATTCGTTCTAAATTTTATATTGACTGCTAGGAGTGATATTACTGTGAATTAAAGTGGAATTAGGACAAAAACTAATTTTTTGCCTTTTTTGAGTATTTAATTTAATTTATGCAATAATAACAACTAAATGCCGGAATTTATTAAAATTTACTTCTACTTCGTAAAAATTAACTTTGTTCTGATAAATAACTACCTTGAGGCTAGTAAACAACTATATAATTAATTGGAATGGATTTAATGTCAACAACTATTTTATTCAAATTTAAGAAGAAAATGCGAAATAGTGGGATAATTTTCTGGAAATTTTTGAAGCATAGATAGAAAAAACTAAGTACAGATTCAGATTCTACTCATTGAAAAGATGAAAATATATATAAAGAACTCACAATTTGGAGCTAAAATGAGAAAGATATGAAAGATTGAAGTTGAAGGTGCAACAATGGTGGAAATCCGAGCTTTGAGGAGGAAGAAGACGCCCTTTTTGATCTGATTTGGGCTTGAAATTGGTGTGGTTGAGTTGAGGAAAAATCGGGCAATTTATAGCAGAAATTTCCCCGAAGGCGGCCAACCAGGCGGCCGCCTTCCGCCTCTCTCCGGCCGCCTGCCGTCCTCGTCGCCGACAGCGGTCGGTGGCCGGTCCCCGTCAGCCGTAGGCGGCCACAGAGGGCGGCCGCCTTCCGCCACACGTCGGCCGCCTGCCGTCTTTTCATGGTCAAATCGGATCGCGGCGGATCCCGGCGGATCCCGGCCGCCGCAGGCGGTCCAGCAGGCGGCCGCCTGCCGTCCTGTCTGGCCGACCGGTGGTTGGTTTCGTCCCCTTGTGCCGCAGGCGGCCACCGTAGGCGGCCGCCTTCTGTCCAGTGTCGGTAGCCTTCGGTCTTTTCCTGGTCCCGAGTCAAAGCGAGGTTGACTTCTGATTTTTCCCGTAGGCGGCCGCGAAGGCCTCCATTTTGGGCGCCTATTTGGGCGCCTTCTGCTATTTTTGTCTGGCAGATGCGGCTTTTCCTGCTCTTCATTTTTGTCTTCTGAATCACCTTGATAAAATGCTTGCTTCTTCCGGTATAAATGCATTTGTCACTCAAATTGACTCATTTTGTGCTCAATTGACCCGAAATCCCGCTAAACATATTATGGACGTGATTTTTACCTGATTTCATGAAACTTGAACCAAAATATATAAAATGTGTCTTTTCTTTCTATTTTCATTCAAAAATCGCTTAAATTTGATAAGAAAAATAAGTTCAAAAATGGACTTATCACCGGCCATTGGGTTCCCATTACTCTTTACTTCACATTGTTAGCTTTATGTATAAGCTTTATGAGGCCAAAATTTTGAATTTATATTTTTAGGTTACATGAGCTTACCAGTATGTAGAGTCAACTCTTATATCTACACATGTTCAATTCTTTTTATGTGTTCTTTGTCTTTATTGTTTGAAAAAAAACATGTTGATGTTTAGCTTTTGAACTAAACAGGTACTCGGATACTATTTTAATGCAATTCTCTTGTTATCGCTTGTGAGTTCATGATTCCTACTCAGAAGAGCGGAAGCATTTCGAGACAGATGATGATCAGAAGAATAATTGTTCGTATCAGGTTGACCTTTTAGGATGGAACCCGGGGTCGTAACAATTTGCATGTCCTAATCTAATACAACAACAACATCCAAGCCATAATTTCGGAAGATTTTGGGGTTGGCTAACATGAATCGATCCATGATATCAGAGCTAAAAAGAGAATAAATATAATAACAATAAAAAGATAAAGTAAGTGAAAATGGATAAGATAAAAATAAATATAAGATAAAAACATAAGAATACGAAAAAAATAAAGGATAAAAAAGAATATACGAAAGATAAAAGATAAAAATAACATAAGAACATAGAAAGATTAAAAAAAATATAACAAATGAGAGAGAGAGAGATCAAACGTCCACACGAATATGTGTCCTCCACTTTGTTCTCTCCAAAGTCATACTCTCATCCAACCGAAGAAGAAACATATAAGTTCTAATCCCTCTAATTCAAATCTATTTGAGTCTTCCTCTCTCTCTCCCCCCGCGCCTTCTTCCCACCTCTCAACTCGTCTAACAGGTGCATCACTTGGTCTTCTACGCACATGACCAAACCACAACATTCGAGACTCCTGTATCTTATCTTCTATAGATGTTACCCCCACCTTTTGTCTAGTTATCTCATTTCTCAAGATGACTTTTCTAGTGTGTCCACACATCTAGCGCAACATACACATCTCTGTCACGTACACCCATCTTTTTGAATGTGACATTGTTTCACATCTCCACATTCTACACCATATATTAATGCATGTCTAATTGATGTCCAATAAAATCTATCCTTCATTCTTGTTAGCATACCTCAATCACATAAAAATCCTTATGCATTCTTCCATTCCATCCACCCTGCTCTTACTCTACGGGATACATCTCCATCTAATTGATCATTCTTCTAAATTATGGAGCCTAAGTAACAAAACATATCACACATTGGTATATTCGTGTTATCAAGGGTAACCCCGTGGAACATATCACACACTCTTATTACACACGAGAACATACTTCTCTTCCTACCTTGAAAATCAAGCACTAGCATCATATGCTTAGTGACAACACTCTCATCTGAGTTAACCTTACAATCAGTGTAACTAGTTCTCCTAGTAGTTAATATTAAGTAGTCAATTTGAGTAATATTAGTTCCACTTCTATTTATAGGTCACAAGGTGAGAGCTTGTTTTCTTGAACCAAGTGTTCATTATCACTACAAGATTTAGCACCTTTTGCTACAAAGTAATTTTGTCGGGAAAGGTTTGATTTTGTAGGGACAAAGTTTTAGCGACAAAAAAAAATTGTGGGGTGATTTGTAGGGCAAAGAGTGTGGGGAAAGGGTTTTCGACACAAAATTTATATCTTTGTAGGCTAAAACCTAGCCCTACATATCTTTTACATACAAATTACTTTTATCTAGACAACACATTCCACACAAGTTCTAATTTGTAGCCATAGACATTTTAACACAAATCATTATTTGTAGACATTTGTATGTAGAAGGTTTGTTTAGCCACTACACTAATTTTGTGGGAAAAGGTGAACATAGGGATCAGATACAATACTTTTAGGAAAAAATTAATTATTTTTAGGATGAAATATTTATAGGGAGAAAACATTTTTTAACACAAGAGGTGATAACACTCGAGGTAAAACTTGCTTGTGGTGACAAACTAATTACTTGTCTCAACACAACACTGAATAAATAATATTTGTAGATTAAACTTGATAATGATTATCCTAGTAAACGATGGTTTGAGTAATATCAAAGGGAAATGAAAGATAATGTCTTACATATCATATGATTAGTAAGAAAAACAAAATAAAGTATTTGAGAACAAATAATTGTCATATCACAATCTCTATTCAACTTCACAATTTGCCTCGTCGAAATCTCCTTCATTATCAAAAGTATCATCCTCATCTTCACTACCACCATCTATTGAAACCGGTACAAACGAGGGAAGAACAATACCAGGAACTTGATTGCATAATTTTTCCAGAGTTATGCCAAGACATCAAAGTACTATTGAAGCTCTGTTCAACTTTCTTCTTTTTTCTTTGCATCATCTCCTCTGCCACAATTCGAGCCATGTGAGAAGCTTTTCGAGCAGCACGTTCACGTTCCAACTCATCTGACAATTGCTGGATTTTGGCAGAAGATTGACCAACTTCACGAAGACGGCCATCTCCCATACCACGAATGCGACGTCCTGGTTGTGTACCAAGAACAGATGTCATAATATTTAACCCAACTTCCTCATCATCAACAAGTATCTCTTCCAAAGGAGTGTCATCAGGGAGTTGTTGCTCCTTTGCCTTTCCCTTAAGGTACTCATTTTTTTAGCAACCATTTCATCCTATAATAGTAAACAATAACAGTGATAATAAGAGAGTAAAAATAGAAGCTATACACTATAGATAACATAAAACATTGCTAATAAGAGAGTACAAATAGAAGCTATATACTATAGATAACGAGTGAAGGCGCTATTCACTCAGAGCCAAGATCGATGTAGAGTTTGCTGGGAAGCAAGAGAACAAAAAAAAAAATTGTGCCTGTAGCCATTTCCTTATACCACTGAAACAAAGTTACCTATGGTTCCCAAGTATAATCGAGATTTGACCTTGGCCATTTCCTTGACCTCGGCAGCAGGGGTCCAATCATTTCCTTATATACGATTAACTAGATCATATAAGAAATGATTATATGCATTTCCCAATATTAGCTTTTGGGAACAACTTGATACAAATGAGATTGGACCCCTGGTGGGGAAGGGCAGAAGGGGAGCATGAAACCACTAAACCACAATCCACTTGTATCAAGTGTTACTCTCGACGATACAACATGTGGTTTAACATCAAGGGCATCAATATAAGAAATTTATGTGAGGGTCTTAAGATTTCATTCTCACGAGAGATCCAAATTTTATAAGAACTAGACATGAACTAGGATCTTTTTTCATACAATTTGAACTTTCTACATCAAAGATACAAAGTAGAGAGGGATTAAACACACAATACTTTGTGTCTTAAGATATAATAAGAAGTTTAATTTAATAAGTTACATATTACCTTGTGCAGAGCATACTTATAGAATAATAGAAAGAAGGTTTAAAACTCAACTTTTTTATCCAACTAATTCTGGAATCATATAGTAAATTTAATACTATATACCTATCAAATATATAGGTAGAAACGCTTGGTGTGTATCTGGTATCTGGTATGCCCCAAGACATACTCGGTTTTTGCTATCAAAGATAATTTGTGCATCAAACAAACACACACACACACACATGCATATTGTAAGAGCAAAATAAAATCATATATGTATGGGTCGATCATGGCCAAGATTAAGTAAATTAAAAGCTGCAAACAATTCACTAAATCAAGAAGATTTGTATTCTAATTAGCAACTATAAACAGGGTAGCTATTCATATGATTTCAATTAAACAAAGAATTTAAAAGTCCATAAAAGAAACGATGAAAGTTGAAAAATTAAGGGCCTGCCGCAGATATCATCGAGATTGTCACCTTACTTGTATAGGTTGCAAGAATCAATTAATTGCTACCAAACTTGAAAGGAATAGATTTGAGAGAACAAGCCCCGACGTCGAGTTCATCAAGCGCTACCACCACCAAGCCTTTCGATCGAACTTCAGAAACCATAACAGGGCGGCAAAAGAATTTGGGTTCTTTTAGCCACTCCAAATAATTTAGTCCAGAAGTAGTGGCCTGGAGAGCTATTAGGGTAGTGGGGGCGTAGTGGGATTTAGGTAAAAAAGTAAAGAGAAGGAATTTTTTAGTTTTGGAGCCAAAAATCAATAGATCATTCCAGTTCGACATATGTGGAGTGAGTAGTAACGAAAAAACACTACTTAAAATATTTTATTTTGAGATTGAAAAACCTTTACCAAATACGGAGCACTTCATTATTTTTATCATGTGTGGATAGATATACTTAAATCTAGTTTGATAATATGTGAAATATTGTTTGTACAATTGAACATAGTATTTTATTATTTGCCACATCAATCTTAAACTGGTTGATTTGGTCGGGTTTGTTATATTCCATGTTTAATTTTATTTTTGTCTGAACTAGTCTGTTCAAATCTTATTTAGAGCCCGTTTGGTGATCTTATTTTTTGACTTATCAGGCTTATCAGTCAACTTTTTCATCAAACATGTAACTTTTAAATTGTGAAATAATAAGAAAAGGTAAGGTTGAAGTTAATTTTTTGGTTGTATTGGCCGAAATTGATGCAGATAATCATTTTAGTTGTTTTTCATATAATTTTTTCTTTATTTTATTACTAAAATATGTTTTAAATATATTATTTTCATAAATAAGAAGAATCAACACATCTAACAATTCATTCAAAACTTCATAAATTTCAGTAGAATCAACCAATATGTATTATCAAAACCAAGTTTAATACAAAAAAATATATTACTTTTATCATTTATTAACATTTTAATATTATATATACTCGTGCATTTCTATAAAGTAATTTTTTTCCTTTTTGAGAAAAATAATCTTTGCCTGCAAATATAATTTTATTTTAAAAAATATGTGGGGAGAGAACTGTTGCTAAGAAGTACTTCGTACGTTTTTGAAGAGATAGGATGTCTATAGAGAGAAATAATTTTTGTGGGGAAAAAAATTTGTAGGAAAAGAAAACACCCCACAAAATATTTTCTTTGTAGGCAAAGAAAGTCTTTGTCTATAAAATTAATTTTGTATGCATGAAATTTGTAGGGAAAGGGTCGAAATGTACTAGTGTATATTACAGCCAACTCATATGTCGAGGCAGAATCCGGAATGTTCTTCTCGCTTCATTTCTAGTGCCAAAATCAATGTCTGCCATGAATGCTCTCAAAAACAACATGCATAAAGAATATTCGAGCCCAACAAAGGTTATTGTCTTCTTAAGATAAATATTTCTACACAACAATAATTGTCTCCCAGAATAGAACATCTTTCGTTCTCGAAGGACTCGACGACCCAAACGATGCACAAACGAAAGAGCTGTAATGACGAAGAAGGACGAAAAAGGTTTTTTTTTGAATTGTTTGCAGATTTTGGAATGTTGAAGTGTTTTGGCCATGAGACACTAATCCAAAAGTGAAAAAAAAATATTATCTAAAGAATTAACTCTATATATGAGTGTTTTACATTGCTAATTAAAAGTAGTGTTTTTCAACTTTAGCTTTAAAAATATATTTCCAATAATTGTTTTCTGCTTAATTTAACACTTTAACTTTGTTTGAAGTGAGGTGTTAAAATGCTTCAAATTCCATTTTTTTATTGAATACATTCCACTTTTAGTTGTATGAGTATCGTACAAATTCCACAATTGATCCACATATTTGATTATAATCACTTTTAGTACATGACTATCGTTTTTTGACCATAAATGACACTTCTGTAGATATTTTCGGTGGTTAAAATCACCGCATCTGAAAATTGGACGAAAGGACCACAAATGGTCAAGAAAAAATAATCAAGTACCAAAATTGAATAATTAAAATGAAAGATAACTGAATGTGAAATCAACATAAAATTCATAGGACCAAAAATAGAAATAATTGTTTTTACTCACAAAAAATACTGTTTTAACAAACACTTAACTTTTACTATTAATATTAGTTTTCTCTCTAACAATCCCAAAATTTTAAGATTATCCATTTCTTGAAAGAAAAGGAGACCTAAACACCACGAAAAGTGTTAGTAAAGACGCTTTTTGTTGTTCAATAAATAAAACCATAAAAGCATGACAAATTTATATTTAATACTTCAAATTTGATAAAATTACAAAAACGGAAAAGGGTCAAATAGGCCCTCCAACTTATATAAAAAGGTCAAATAAGTCCTTATATGGGATGTTTTGTCCGGCAGTCGTCATTTGGGGCAGGATCCGGTGGAATTTTTTGATGAAATTTTTTGAGCATCTTATTCATTAAGTCTAGTTAGTTTATTCATGCCAAAATAAGAGCTTATTTGAATAAGATGAATAAGATGAATAAGATGAATAAGATGCTCAAAAAAATTCACCGGGAACTGCCCCAAATGGCGACAGCCGGACAGAGCCTCCAATATAAGAGCTTATTTGACTTTTTATGTAAGTTCGAGAGCCTATATGACCCTTTTCTCTTACCTAAATTAATTAAGCGGTATATAACGAAATACTCCGTAATCCGTATGATATGATTGGCTAACGGCTTGCCGGTTACTACTAGAAAATTGTCCTTACACGGTTCCACCAACACATTGAGTTGGTTCTAATAAAAAGTACGGAGTAATTTATAAGTCAAAAGTGAGAATCAATTCTGACCATTGAATTGATCTGGACAAATAGATGAAAGAAAATCAAAATTTAAGTAGAACATACATGTTGTGACTTTATTATAAATATGAAGAATTCTAAATGAAAATACGGTTGCAAAATGCAATGTACGAAGTAATATACTACGTACAAAAGTGCATACCAAACAAAATATATCAAAATCCTAAAAAAATGGGCGTAACTTACAAAGTATGAAAACCTCAAAACCATGTATTTTAACTTGTACGACGAATGCTTCTATGAATAACAATGTTCTTTGTAATACTTCGTATAAAACTATTCGAATTAAAGTTCCATAATTCTGATTTTATCATCGCTTATTTTGATTGAAAATGTACCTAGTGTTGGTAGAAAATAACCCGGGTATAGAATTCGGCAGCATTTCAGTATAGTGAGAATCGCCCTCCTGAATACAAGGGGTTGGTGGCCTATTTATAGGCATACACAATAGCCCTCCAATTAAGTGTTACATGGACTTGGCCCGATTTATCAACTAACACTGACGCTAATGGGCCAGCCAGCCCGATAAGTAATTAAATAATCCCGGACCAATATCCGCTAGCTGGGCTATGTTCTGAGCTTGGTCGGGCCAAAGCTTGGGCGTAACGGGCCAATAGTCTTGGACCCGGCCCATTATCCCAACACGAGTCCCCCACTCCCTTAGTCGAGTAGTAGACTCGGGTAAAAGGGAGTAGTTAAGCTGTTTTGGAATTGGTCCGGTTTTAGGTCCGGCCGGCCGGTCATTATCGAGCCTTGAATTTGATCCAATTGCTTGTGAAAGGATGGACTCTTCTTTGCTCCGACCGGGAGACCTCTTCCTTTGTTCATGATAAGGGGGTGCCTCGTTAAAACCTTACTAGGAAAAAACCCAACGGGAAAAAATTCTAGTGAAGGAAAAAGAGTACACCGAAACCTTAAAATAAAGCAAAGGAAGGTCAATCCCTTCGGTTCTTGATTAAGTGCCTGCTTTACTGGTAAGTCGAGATATGTTCCGAAAAGATCAGTCGCGCGGTTGTTTGCCAGTGGTGTCGGTCGAGCCGAGGTATGCTTGGGAGAAGGCTGGTCGCAGTTGTATGCTGAGGAAGGAGATCCGAGGTATGCCTGGGAGAGGCTAGTGACATAGATGTTCGCCGATGTTGGCAAACTGGGTATGCTCGGGAGATGCTGGCCACCCAGCTGTCCGCTGACGATGGACAACCGAGCTATGATCTGGAAAGGTCGGATGCAATACTGTCCACCTTGATCCTCATTGCTTGCAAAAGGATAGGGTTTCCTCTGTCTGGTAGCAGCCTGGGGTCTTGTTTGTTCGATTAGCAGTCCGGGGTCTTGTTCTTCCGATTAGCAGCCCGGGGTCTTGTTTGTCCAATAAGCAGCCCGAGGTGTTGTTTAAAACCAAGCAAACGGGTGAGCTCTCTGGCCACTGCGTGCAGCTGCAACGGTCGCCATCTGCTGAGGGGATGGCAAAGACCGGTCTTCACTTGTGAGCAATGCTCGTCTGACGTTCTCGGGAGGATGCAGTGAGTAGTCCACCATGATTCATCCTTAGGAGTGAGAGACCCGAGCTCGGAGCTTGGGTTGGCTCTCGCCCGCCAATAAGCCCATACGTAATTCATGCACTGTCATGCATGTGCAACCTCGACCGAAAGATAGCCTTAGACGAACTTGACTTGGAGATAGCCCTTCACGAACTTGGACTTAGATGAGCGTGCGTGACTTGGTATGGATGGTGAGGTGATGATTATAGGCCTCGTCACGACCACGCACTTAGTTTGAATTTTGAGGCCTGTTAAAGAAGAGCCTGAACCAGCGCTGTGTAGTCTAGGCTCAGGAGTGGACGGGAGAAAACTGAGGATGCCATGAAGCTACACAGCTTCCCACGGAGCCAACGATCGGAGCATGCCCGAGCGTGGCGGCGACCAAGGATATGAAAGTTCCATTCGAACCTAAATAAAAGTAAGACAAGTTGAATGCGTTGTCCCGGGATGCGGACCATAAGGTAGTTGCGGTGTTAAAGCCTCCCTAGTGATCTTGGAGTTTGCAAGCTTTAGGCTCTAGGCCCGGCATCTGGAGCACGTCTGAGCTTCGAGGACGTAGAAGATGAGGCAGTTGCTTTGTTCAAGGCCCATTACAGTTTCCGGAGCTTGTCACTTGCAGGATTGAAGACTGTTGTCCGGAGTAAATCCGAGCTTAGCTGCGGACCAAGGAGGGTTGCAATTGGCTGACATGGTATGCAGACTACCTGTGATGAGGAGAAGAAAAACTGGGCAATGATGATCTTGGACTTGTTCTCTGTGATTGATTTTTCGCTTGAGCTTGTATATATGCGTCGTTCGTTCTTTCAATTTACTTCGTCGTTTTTCATTCAAGAATACTTGGAGAACTAATCGGGGATCTGGCTCCCCACCTATGCCGCGAGGGGCGGAAAGTCGACAAGGTCGACCTTGACCGCGCCCTGCTGGGTAAGGCGGGGCTGACCCGCACACTGTCGGTCTAGGACCAACGAGTTGTGCAAGCTGTTTGGCCAGCGATTGGACAACGGATGTACGAGAGGGGCTCGGGGCGCGACCTCTCGCATACCTTCAACCTGGAGGTCGGTCTTACACCACCTTGACTTGTACAGCTAGTTTCATACTTAGGAAATATTTGGTTATTCTCTTTCTGAAAGTCGAACTGAAGTCGGCCAAACGTAAGGGCAAGGCCCTGCATGATCAGACCAGAACGGACCCGCACCGCTGACCATATCAAACGAGTATGCGGGCTGTTAACCCTAGCAACGTCAGACAGCGGGTGTACGAGAGGGGCTTGGAGCACGACCTCTCGCATACCTTCGGCCTGAAGACCGGTCATATAGTCGCCGCACAGTTGATTTGGTCAAACGAGTATGCGAGCTGTTTAGACAGCAACGTCGGACAACGGATGTACGGGAGGGGCTCGGAGCACGACCTCTCGCATACCTTTTCGACCTGGGGCCGGTCTCACAGTCGCCCTGACCGAGCAGCTAATCCTAGACTTAGAAAAAAGTTTGATCATTTCCCTTTCCGAGGATCGAGCCGTGGTCGACTAAACACCGAGAGCGGAGCGTCATAGTTTTTTTTTTTTTTTTTTTTTTTTCTTTTTTTTTTTTTGGCCGCCGCCCGTTCATTTCCAAGTGAAGTCGGACCTCATTAAATTCTAGATTGAAAACAATTTTTTTTAAGTAATGAAAGAATTTGAGAACTTGAGGAGTTGCTCCGAGTCCTGCACTTGGTGCTTGATCACAATCTTGCTATGCTCGCTCAAAGGATTTGACAAGGTGCCCCGCGCCCGTACTTTGTAGTTTTGATGTTGATAGTATGGACCTATCTGTGCAAGCTTAGGCAACATGGTTTTCATCACTATCATCTCAGACTTGCGCACTATGGCGAGGCTGTGCAACCAAAGCTCTCGGCGAAGACGGTACGCTCACTTCGCGGGATTGAGCCCGTGCAACCTAGTCTCCAGGCGATGATTGTGTTCCTGTCTCGGCGGATTGGGGCTGTGCAACCAAGCCTCTTGGTGGTGATCGAATACTCACGTCGCCGGGTTGAGCTCGTGCAATCACGCCTCCTGGTGACGACCATGCGGCCGTCTCGCCATGGCGGACTCGTGCAACGAAGCCTCCGGGTCATGACATTGTGTCCACCTCGCCAGTTTGAGCTCGTGTAAGAGTATCCGATCTTCCGGTTGTCGTTGCGGGTGTTCTACGAAGCCTCTTGGTGGTGGCCGAATGTTCACGTCGCCGAGTTGGGCTGGTACGACCACGCATCCTGGTGACGACCGTGCGGCCGTCTCGCCATGGCGGGTTCGTGCAGCCAAACTTCCGGGCCGTGACATTGCGTCCACCTCGCCAGTTTGAGCTCGTGTAAGAGTATCCGATCTTCCGGTTGTCGTTGCGGGTGTTCTACGAAGCCTCTTGGTGGTGGCCGAATGTTCACGTCGCCGAGTTGGGCTGGTACGACCACGCATCCTGGTGACGACCGTGCGGCCGTCTCGCCATGGCGGGTTCGTGCAGCCAAACTTCCGGGCCGTGACATTGCGTCCACCTCGCCAGTTTGAGCTCGTGTAAGGGTACCCGATCTTCCGGTTATCGCTGCGGGTGTTCTACGAAGCCTCTTGGTGGTGGTCGAATGTTCACGTCGCCGAGTTGGGCTGGTACGACCACGCATCCTGGTGACGACCGTGCGGCCGTCTCGCCATGGCGGGTTCGTGCAGCCAAACTTCCGGGCCGTGACATTGCGTCCACCTCGCCAGTTTGAGCTCGTGTAAGGGTACCCGATCTTCCGGTTGTCGCTGCGGGTGTTCTACGAAGCCTCTTGGTGGTGGCCGAATGTTCACGTCACCGAGTTGGGCTGGTACGACCACGCATCCTGGTGACGACCGTGCGGCCGTCTCGCCATGGCGGGTTCGTGCAATCAAACTTCCGGGCCGTGACATTGCGTCCACCTTGCCAGGTGGGGCTCGCCCGGATGATACCCAACCCGCCAATTGTCGTTTGGGCTTTGTTAGGCGCGTAGGGGAGAACGGGCGCAGAGCATACGGGCGTACATGGTGATAGCTACAACGTGCACGACCTCACGACGATGCTACACGACTCTGGCTTGTCGGTGCCGATGTGTATCCTGCGATTTCAAAATTAATTCTAATAGAAGCTCCATAATTAAATTTTTAACATTTGATACATCATTGTGGGTGTTTGCAAAATAAGAAGCAGCGAGCCAAAGCTGGAAACCGAAGATTTCTTCAATTCGTCCCAAATAAGAGCCATCTCTCAGCCCTCCTGCGAGCCTACTGCGGAACAGAGCACGGAGGAAGCAGAAGCTAGAGTCCATCTCGGCTGGGAGAGGCGTGGGCCCCTTCAGCCATGTTTGCCGCTGGTTGATGTCGCTGAGGTAGTTTGTTGGTTTGGAGGCTGCAGAGAGCGTACAGCCCTCGGCTCGGTCGGTGATGGCAGCTACTCCGGTTGTGGCGACGGAGGCACCTAGTGATTCGTGTTCTCTGGGACCATCGCAGGGAGAAGGAAGCCATGGCCTTGAATTTTCCTCCCGAGATCTCGAGCGGCCATTAATGGCAAAGCTCGGGAAAAATCAGAGACTCCCTTCGGATCTGACTCTAGGCAGCGCAGCGCGTATGAAGTCCTCAATCAAGTTCGTCGCTGCTGTTGCGGCGGCGAGTTCTCTATGGTGGCTTCATCTGACGGCGCGGGATGGACCCTGGACGGCGCACCCTTGTGTGATTGGTTCGGACAAGGGTATAGGAGCGATCCACGAACGGCACCTGCGAGAGGATGAGCGAACCGGGAATTTCGCCGCTACAAACGTGCACGCTCTCTGGCCCGCCGGGATCTGGGTTCGAAGACTCCAGCTTTTTTCAAAATCGGATCTGTTTTTTTTGTTGTAAAAACCCTTCTTCCTGGTCATTTTTGGGCTGGATTTTAAAACTGTCATGAATTGAAAATAATTTTTTGGCTGGCGGCGAGGCATGGAACCGGCTGCGAGGCCTGGAGCAGCGATCTGGAACATCAGCATCGATCTCAGCAGATGGCGCACCAGCGGTTCATGCTCTGTGGAATTTCCCAGATCTGAAATTCTGGAACTTTTTTATTTTTGCTGATTTTCCAAACCAATTCTGGTTGTCTTGTTGCGATTACAAGATCATTGTGATGACCTCTACGACTTGGCGTAATATGGTTAATAATGTGATTAAGATGAAGTTGTGATTCGTGGGGAATGGTTCATCCAATTTCTGGAATTATGATTATTTTTCTATGATGATTTTTTGAGCAATCTCACTTGATGATGGTTCTTGAATCTTCCCAAGTTCCTACCAAAAAATGAGAGATAGAGCTCTCAATGAAAGCACCAATGTTGGTAGAAAATAACCCGGGTATAGAATTCGGCAGCATTTCAGTATAGTGAGAATCGCCCTCCTGAATACAAGGGGTTGGTGGCCTATTTATAGGCATACACAATAGCCCTCCAATTAAGTGTTACATGGACTTGGCCCGATTTATCAACTAACACTGACGCTAATGGGCCAGCCAGCCCGATAAGTAATTAAATAATCCCGGACCAATATCCGCTAGCTGGGCTATGTTCTGAGCTTGGTCGGGCCAAAGCTTGGGCGTAACGGGCCAATAGTCTTGGACCCGGCCCATTATCCCAACACCTAGTTTATCCATTTTGAAGTGAGCAATAAGCCAATGATCGAATTACTTTTTAAAAAATGATTGAAATTTCAATTGAACATTTACACACATACATACATGCATATAGTGATTATTTAGAGCTGCGACTAATTTTATTTTTTGATAAAAACGTGACACATCGACAAAATATCAACTCCGATGTAGACGTCATCTTCGTTTGGATGGAAATAATATGTTAGAGGCGTTTCTAACCTTTACTTTTCTAAAGGAATATTACTAATTATCAAATCAGAGTTTAAAGGCTAAAGAGAAAGGTTGGAGTCAAGTGGAGGTTGAAAGAGACGCTTTGCTACTATAATATCTAGATTGTAAGAGGGGATTGGGAGTTCTTATTTTGATTTAATAGTGGAGGATATTATACTATTGCTTCAATGTGAGACTAGAATGTCAGTTAATCATTGCAAACGGTCCGCGAATCGGGTTGCTCACACTCTTGCTAGAGCGGCCCTTTCCATGATGGATGGTAGTTTTTACTTTGATTCAGCTCCTAGTTGTATTCATAGCCATTTGGCTAATGACATTTTGAATTTATAAAGTTTGCTGATTTTCATTCAAAAAAAATCGGAGTATAAAGAATCTGACAGGGCATATGGGGTTGGAATCACGACGAACATACTCTTTAGACATTGCACCGATGACTGACCCAACATGTTCTGGACATCGCCCTCGTCTGGGCTCCTCGATCGGACGAGGGAACTTCACTCGGGATGGTCTACTTAAGAAACCCTTTCACGTGTTTCTAACAATGATTGACGGAATCACCCTTGGCCCCGTCACACCAGCCACACACCCTCGGTCTAGAAACGTGCACCGCGATCAGCCGATCAGCAAGACGAGGAAAACAATATAGTCTACGATCCATGTTTAAAGGAGGACATTATTCCTCTCGTCCTCCTCTAGTTTACTCATGTGTTTGAACTTAATGCGCTTGACATATAGGGGGTGTCTGTTAAGGTGAAAAGTAGGGAAAATGTACAAATATACCCCTGTAGTATGGGTGTGGGAACAGATATATCCCTACTATTCTATTTTTCGGAACAAATATACCCCTGAACTTTTAAAAAGGTGCAAAAATATCCCTCATGTTCTTATAAAGGGGCAAATTAATCCTTATTAACTTTAAATTAATAAAATAAATTTCAAAAAACACCAAATATAAATTATAAATTCGAAATTTAAAATAAAAATAAAAATGTAATAGTGTCTAATTCTCCCTTTTATAGTTTTTATATCACAATTTAATATTGTTTAAACATTAAATATTATTTCAAAATTTTACTATATATTTAAGATTCTTTCGAAAAGGTGCAACACATGTTTTGCAATGTAGAGAAAAATTAATTTTTTGCATTCTTTGCACTATAAAATTACATATTTTGAAATAATATTTTATACTTAAAATATTAAATTGTGATATAAAAACAATAAAGGGAGAAATGGACACAATTACATTTTTAAAATTTTTAATTTTTAATTTCGATTTATTAATTTATTTTTTGTCTTTCTTTTTTTAAATTTATTTGATTAATTTAAAGTCAATAAGGATTAAATTGCTCCTTTATAAAAATGAGAGATATTTTTGCACCTTTTTAAAAGTTCAGGGGTATATTTGTTCCGAAAAATAGAACATGGGTATATTTGTTCCTCCACCTATACTACAGGGGTATATATATACATTTTCCCGTGTAAAGTAATCATTTTACGTGCAAAGTGTAGGAATACAAACAATTTACATCGTTTGATACGATTATTTAATGTAAATTGTAAGATGTCATTTTAAAATATTTTACATTGCACGGAGTAACATGTAAAACACTTTATGTGGGGTGGTAAAATATATTACATTCTTAATATAAAATTGATTAAATTAAAACCTTACAATGCTACTCTATTTTTTCACGTCAGACCTTGTCGGAATGCCGACATCTCTCTCTTGCGGCTTGCCCATCCATTCTTCTCAACAGCAGCACCATTTATTCTACTTTTGATCAAAATAGTTTAAAGACCAATTAATATAGCTTCAATATGTTGGGTAATAAACCTCCCAACTGATGGATTGACTAGGGATGGAGTTTTTCATAGATCAGGAATTATAGCACTGATTCTGAATTTCAGGCATATTTTTTAATTAAAAGTTAATTATGAGTTTTGTTGATTATTTTTATCAAATATAAAGTTATTACAGATTATGAGTACAACATCATTGAAAAATAATTCCTCAAATTGTACATCCCGAGGTGTTCAGAAGCCTTGTTTTATGGATCGTTAATTAGTCTCTATCAATATAATTATCAATATTTTTTTTTCCAAATATTATTTTCTTGACTTAATTAGCATACGATGACATGTTAAAAGAGTAATTTTAATTTTTGGTTGGAGCCTTACGTGTGAACTTATTTTTTGAGCCAAACAATGCATTTACTTTGCATGTATTTTAAAAATAGATCGCATATCTCACCAAACAATATGGGATAAGGGTCAGTTTGGTCCTCGAAGTTGCAAAAAAAGAGTCAAATAAGTCCTTATATAGAAGATTCTGTCCGGAAGTGCCATTTGAGGTGGCTCCCGGTGGAATTTTTTGATGAAATTTTTTGAGCATCTTATTCATTAAATCTAGTTTACTCATATCAAATTTTAGATAAAAATTCAATCGGGAAGACATTCAAATGAATTCTTGAAGATAATTGTGCCGTTAAAAGCGCAGTTATCTTCAAGAATTCATTTGAATGTCTTCCCGATTGAATGTTTAGCTGAAATTTGGTATGAGTAAACTAGACTTAATGAATAGGATGCTCAAAAAGTTTTATCAAAAAATTCCACCGGGAGCCACCTCAAATGGCACGTCCGGACATAATCTTCTATATAAGGACTTATTTGACACCTTTTTTGCAACTTCGAGGACCAAACTGACTCTTTACTCCCAAACAATATATTTGAATTTTACATGTAAAATGATTGCATTCATACACTTTACATGCAATCACTATGCATGTAAAGTTTAATGTGCAAACAACCAAACGCCCTCATATTGCAACTACAAGCAACCCTTCTTTGTGCAGATGTAACAGTTCGAAAACTCATTTGATAGATATATCTTTCTTTCTCTCTCTATATTTAATTTTGCCTTCTCTCTAGAATACGACTAGCAGGTTCGATCATGGTGTAGCTATCAGAACTTATAATACAAAAAATATGTCAATAGATCTTTCCATTATTATCATGTTTTGAACAAAACTTTGTACATGATCTAATTCTGTAATTCTAACAATGTTTTTAATTTGACCAAAATTTTTGAGATGGGTATATTCTGATCTGATTTGGTCTGTTTAAATCTGATCCGATCTGATGTATTGAATGTCTACTTGTTGTGTATAACTAATGAAGTCTGATGGATATAGTGGCAGCCCCATTGTAGTAAGAGGTCGAAACAAATTCTTCAAAAGGAAAGAGAAATGTTAGATCACTTACTAAATTCATTTTAAATAGTGATGCCAGAAAAGGGGTATGGCTAACATACCTCAATTGAGTAACCATCCAGAATAAGAGTATGCACAGATTCCCAAGTCGAGTATTTAACCGGAAGATTGTCAATGGTTTGTCGAAAGAAACAACCTTGAATTGCTAATGTACTAAAGCCCTGTTTGTATTTTGGTGGATCGGGACCTAAGCACTGCATTTAGCAGCGTTTTCTTTCAGGGAAAATGGCGGATTGAGACACAACACACTATTACCCAAACGCACACTGAGAGCCTGTTTGGTAGCATGAAAATCGGTTGTTTTGGCTGATTTTGCTTAAATTTATGAAGTTTTGGCTGAAGTAGTTGCATTGGCTCTTTCAAATAGGCATTCACTCTTATAGCTTTTGGACATGTTTCTTTACTTAGCATTAATTGGTTTTGTAAGGAACTATAGCTAATAGGCATACCTTACTGGTTGTTGTAGTCCTTTGTTTCTCACAGAATGCTTATGTACGCTTCAGGTTTGCATAAACATATTTGGCATGTAAATGTTTCTTGTTTTACCAATTTCCATTGTTATTGTTGGAAAATGAATCTTTCAGTGTTCTGATTTTAAGGCGTAGATGATAATTGCAAGAATAAAAGCGGACCTACTTATTTTATGGAGTGGCTGTTACCATCTCTACACAAACCAGAAAAATTTACCATAAATGATGTACGTTGAATCTCTCTTGAAATGATAAATACCTTTCTATGAATTGTCGTTATCAGACTTCCCAAATTGTCACTGTTTCTCTATGATACAGAATGGTGTATTTCCTACATGATTGACTGGTTGTATAGATCCAGAGCAGGCTTTAGAATGAATAATGAGCTCTGATTCAGGAGTGCCTCTAGTGGGTAGTCAAAGCCTTTATTAGAAGTGCAATTTTCTTTCACAAATGTCCATTAAGGCCATGCATCCTGGTGATCCTGCCTCCCATAATGTAAGGTTCTTTAATCATTAATGGTGGCTTTAGTCTCACGCGCGCATGCTACTGTTGGAGATAATCGTCGTAACCTGCAAAACAATGTTAGAAAAATAAAACAGCCCGAGACGCGCTAGT